TATGATCCAAAAAAGCACAGACAGATGATAATATCAAATCAGCCTTGATAGTATTCTAATGAGAGCTCTCTTTGATCTCAGAGTATGTGTTCACTCATAAAATTTACAGCCTGATATTGTGAAGGATGTGCTATATGTCTTCCAAGTTTTACATTACTTCCTTCACTCATAAAAAAACAAACAAATAAAAAATATGATTTTATTGATTTTCTCATGTAATATAAGCACAACAGGAAAGTAGAACCTGAGGACTAGACTAAGGATATGAATAAATACCAGGGCTATAAGAATGAGGATCAGAGTAATAATAACTCTGACTATGAGGATGTACTTATAACATTTAGTCATAGTAGACTTAAGTATAAATTTGCTAATAAGTATGAAAATTCAATGTGTACAGGTATATCACATCTCATCCATTTTTAACAAATGCAAGGTCATCATTAAAAGAATATGAGTTGTTATTAACTAGCTTATCTAACACAACTGACTGCTCTTAAGGTTGAAGATAGTCCATTAAAGTTATCAGCTGATATGTTTTATAGTATGTAAGCAGCTCTTGCTATACATTAATATATAAAGTGAATATTAAAGTTGGCTTTAGTGCTCAAAATATTCAAGATAGTGTATCCAAAGAATTTAAAAATCTATAAAAAGGACTTTAATGCAGAAATCTGGAAGGTAGCAGATTCAAATCTATGGCTAGAATATACAATTGTGTGAAAGCTTAATATTTTACCTCATTGAGATAAACTAGATAATGGACTCATAGTAATATTTTGCTTAAGTCACTTTTCAAAAAGTGAGACATACTTAAAGATCATAAGCTCAAACTTTAGTATATTTTAAATCTAGCATTAACATTTTATCAATACTTAATAATAATGTTATTAGGTATCAGCCAGGCAATGTGCTAAATTTTAGAGTAGAAGACCTCTACCATACTATTGGTCCTTGGAAGACTGAAGGTAGAGTTACTGTATGGAGAATCATATTAGGGCATATTTAAAATAGGTTTTTCTCCCTAGCACATTTTCTTTAAACATTAAAGAATAAGAGAGCTAGTTAGATGAAAAGTATAGCTGGAGGTGCATTGCTAAGTTGTGAGTTCTGAGTTCTAAAATAATATTTCAGAACTAGTTGTACCTACAAAAGATTAATATTGCAAAATTTGATTGTTAATTATGATGTAATCAATCTTATGTGACTGCTAACCTAATATTTATAATCAGATTAACTGTATATTTGTTGCATCTAGTAAGATAATAGCATGACTTGGTGTGGATGTTCAGGTTAGAGGCTATATACACACAGCCTAGATTATTCAACACTAGTGCTACTGGAGTCTGGTTCAGAACTTCAATTTGGACCTGAATCTTTCTGGACCAATGTGGGTACAACAATTCTGATGGTGATTTAGAATAATGTGTTAGGTCTTGCAGAACCTAGCTGCTATTCGACCCTGAAGGGTGTTTGGACCAGACTCAAGGCTCAGAGAAGAGGAAATATGATAGAAACTTGCTGAAGACTCAGACTCATAGTGAATACTAGTGAAAAGATTACTTGATTATGTAAGCTAAGGTGCAAACATAACTATAGGTAAAACAGTCTCTGCAAGGCTAGCCAGGAATCATTCTCTACACCAGACTGTAGGTTTGGTCCCAGGTTCAGCATACGGTAAGAACCAAACATATTATGACATTTGGCATTTGGCTGATGCCTGAAATGTGTGAACATATCCTAAACACATCCAGACTTGTCTGAACTGTTCTTGAATCTGAAGTTCTTTGTATGATCCACTCAGGCATTCCAACTCGTCGATAAGGGTCCATCGCCTACTTCAATACCTCCGGCCCTCCCTTTCAGATAAGGATATCCCCTATCATACCAAGACTAGCAATGAAATCTTTGAACAGGCCAAGTTGGCCATCCAGTGCATCAGAGAGAAGCTAAGCACATTGATAGTAAAAATTATATTACTTTCGACTCATAGACATCTGAACCATGTACACCTTTTCTCTCTGTCATCACACATTATATTGACTCCTCAGATGGGAAGCCTCAGGAGTTGAAGTTGAAGAGCAAGCAGCTTGCATTCATGATCATCAATAGCAATCATAGTGGTAGCAATGTTGGAAGGATTCTAATTGAGACCATTGATAGCTACAACTTTCGCACCAAGGTTGGATGATTTACAGCTGACAATGCCACCAATAATAATACTGCAATTCAGACTGTTACACTCGCTATTGACCCTTCTGGTAAGGAATGGATTGCAGGCAAGCACTGTGTGTGGTAAGGGATCTATTTAATATGTCATTATATATACTGTAAAGATACAACACTAACTTCAACCACATCCAGCCATGACCATGTTACACTTAGCTTCATAGCTTCAAATGTTGGTGTGACCAGTGACTGGACCAAAATAGCTTCAGTCAGGTGTGACAAAGTGTAACATGCTACTATGTCACTGTCGTCAATGGTGGACATTCAAGTCTGTTGGTACTTTAATATTATTGCACATTGCTTCACCTGTAAGCTGTCAAGCAATGCTGGGTGTGGTCTTAAACACTGGACCTACTGGAACTGCAAGTCTGCCTTCAATGTCACTCTCAGTCATGCCACAACTTGAAACTGATGCATTTATTACCTCAGATTGGCTTGAAAGCATAGATGGATTACAAATAGGATGTACACCAACTTTTGGTCTCATTAAGGCACTTTATATGTTTTTTTCATCAAATTTACTGCATGTCACAATCTAGCTTCAGTTATGAAAAATCTGTGTAATGGTCACATTGAATAGCTTCAATTCATGGCACCTAGGTTGCCCAATTAGTAAGCCTTATTATACTTGGTGATTATGTGCTTCACCAACTATTATTAGGCTTGCTTGTGTTTAACCTCAACACTGGCATTAAATACTGCTCCAAATCATCTATGACCTCTACCTATCTGCTTATCCATAGTGGGGGATGGGTACTTCCTGCATATGTAATCTGTCCACCCCCACCATAGTACCTATTATAGCTAACTACACACCCTAGTATTCACACACACCTTACCCTTTCCCCTCACTATCATCTATGCCAACCGCAGCATTGCCTGCCCTCCCTTTACTCAGACCATTACACCCTCTCTCTAGGGCAACTCAAGCTCGCTGTCATCATCATTGGAGCAATCTTTGCGCTGCTTCTCTTATCCCAGACTAAGTGCTGCCTTATCACATCGACTGTCAGCTTCCCCTCACTATCATCTACACCTACTGCAGCCATTTCCTGTCCTCCCTTTCCTCGGACCACCACAACCTCTCTCTAGGGCAACTCAAGCTCGCTGTCATCTTCATTGGAGCAATCTTTGCACTGCTTCTCCCATCCCAGACCAAGTGCTGCCTTATCACATTGACTGCCAGCTTCCCCTTACCATTGTCTACACTGACCGCAGCTGTTGCCTGTCCTCCCTTTCCTCGGACCACCACAACCTCTCTCTAGGGTAACTCAAGCGCAAATCTTTGTGCTACTTCTCCCATCACATACCAAGTGCTGCCTCCCTATACCATCAACACCTTTGATCGCCAGCCCACTGTCGATGTGGCTTATCATTGCTTCCCCGCTGTAGAGACTCGCGCGTCTCAATGCCAAGTATCCGGCCTTTGTCCATACATTCTTATATGATCCAGCTCTAATCCAAAGGACCAGTCTCGCGCACACTTACGCGCGCCTTACCTGCACTCGTGCAATGCGCGCTTTGTGCGCCTCCTCCTAGGTCTTCGCGCTATTGTCTGTCCATTCATTCTATGTCCTTACTGATTTGCTGGTGCGTTATTCCTATCTCCTTCATTGAACTAACAAATCTTCAGGTCCGAAATCCTGTGCTACATATAGAAAGTCTATTTAAACTTAGTTATAATTAGAGTTGATATGGTTACTTGGTTTGGGAGCGTGCTCGGAAGCGCGCCGCATAGTGTAATCTCCATTCTTAAATAGAGAAGGGAATCTTTGGGGTTCTGGTACTTACTTTCCCCTTATCTTTGTGTACTGGAAAGTGTATAGATCACCTCCTCACTTGATATCAGATCTGATTCTCCTGTCAACCATCCATCTGTGCATCCACTCTTCAAATAGGGCCTTTCCCTTAATGTTCTAGGCGCACCTTCGCTTCGCTGCGCGCGCATTCTCGGACCTCCCACTCACGTGCGCATCTCACACGCCTTCGCCTCACGTACGCGCACCTTCGCGCGCGTTACCTTCTAGCGCCCTGCCTAGCTCATACAGTCTCCCTCCAATCTTTATTTCGAGGAACTTCTCTCAGTGGTTGTCCTTTGGGTCGAGTCGTTGTCTCATATCCTGGTCTTGAAGTAGAGCATCCATTTGTTTTAAGTGTTTCGCCTATAGTCAAGATTCCTCTTCTACACCGCATTATCAACACATCTGCCAGGTACATTGCTAACATTTTACTTTTTGTCAGTCTCAAATCATTGGCAACAGCTGCCTGTTTTCCCTACCTTACTGGTGCCTTAGCTGGAGGCTGACATGACTATGTAATCACTTGTGCATGCATCCCATCTCCATTTCCCGGTCCTTGTTATCTCATACACAGTACCTCTCCTTGTTGTGATTAGCCAAATGACACTTTTTGGTCAAAATATAACACTGTATGAAATGAACTAAGTATCCTTGGAAACAAACAGCTAGATAGTGCCATTGATCTAGACCGAACAACATATTCATGTGAGTTAAGATAGCATCAAAACATGACAAGTTAAATCCTGCTGCATATGTACAAAATGAAATAAGTATCCTTGAAAAAAAACTAGATAGTGCCATTGAAATTAAGGAAGTCATCTGGACCGAACAACATATTTATGTCAGCCAAGGTAGTGTTAGGATCAAGAGGTCCAGGAAGGTCAAAATGCGCCAAGTCAAATCCTGCAGCAAACTTGTTTGTATTGAACTGAAGGTTTCATTGGTACTTGGTCCTGACTCAGTGGTATTGAATTAAGTAGGCTTGTTGATACTTGGTGTGGACTCGGTGTTGAAGTTGAACTGAGGGGGGTCATTTGTACTTGGTCTTGACTCGTCTACTGAACCAACAACAGTAGACTGTGCCACAGGACTAGCTGGGGAAGATGGGGGCTGGTCAGGCTCATCTTCTTTGTCACTGCTCTCGATAAATTCTGCACTTTTATGCTTCCTGCGCCAACAAGTAGTTACCTTCTGAGATGCTGCAGGTTGTCTGTGCTTTCTTCCCTTATCAGAGCAAGTGCATCAATGATGGTTAACGACCTCACCCCTCTCAAGCTGCTCATCACACTCCAGATGAAGTCTTTCGAGTTCATCGTCATCTATAGTAACCCATTTTGTAGCACTCAATTTCCACCACTGCTCTAGCATTTGGAGTTCCAGAAGTGCACTGGACACGTTGCTAAGGTTTGTGAAATTAATGTTGTCCAGCCACCCTTTGATCACAATCTGATAACATTGAACCACATTATGAAAGTAGTGTGTCCATTGCATTGTGACATGAGGCTCACCAGTGATCTCTTCTATTGATGGAGGTAAGTGATACTGCCATTGCAGAAGCAAACGAACTGACGGAGTTTGACATTAATGAGCTTCCGGATTGAGGTGAGTGTGTCAGAGATGAGCTGCTGATGATTCTTCCTAGCACCTGTAATAAAATAATGTTAGATTAGAGGTGAGAGTGTCAACAAAAACAAATTGACCTTTGATCCCTTAGATTGCAAATCCTTCCATCTTGCTCACGACATCCTAGTTGTCGATCCCCATCGCCGAATCCATGAAATTTTCAACTCCCTCAGTGGTGAAGATAACTCCTCATAGAGGAAGATCCATCAAGCCATGCATTGTAAATAGAATACACTCAGCGCCAGTGCGACATTTAAGACTGTTGAGCTGGAATGAATAAGAAGTTAGTAAGACTATAATGTAAATTTTCATAGACTTCCAAACCTCATTCTCAATGGCCTTTAAAGTATGGGTGATGTCATTTACCTTCAACTTCGTTGAAATGTGCATACCAGTAGTTTTGGTATCTCTGTGCTCCACGAACTCCTTTAGGAGGTCGTCCTGTTCTTGCTTTGACAGTGCATGGTATGCTTCCTTATTGTCCTGGACTAGTGACTGAAGTGCAGCTCTACCTTGACTGTCTGGGTGTATATAGCATTAGAATAAGTATATAGCAGCCAAAGAAGACAAAACTTATGATTTTCTTTGTCCTGATTTTTCTTCCAGTAAAACACATTCCAGAGATTTTGTTTCCAGTGTTTCGAGCGGAGCGCATCATGACCAAAGTACAACTGATTTTGGACGTGTCAAATGCTCTTCTGGTAAGACCCAGCAATCGTCTTTGTAGTCTCATTGATGTGGTCCCAGGCATCATCAAGGGCATCCTTGAATTTGCAAGCCTTGGTATGCTGCACAACCTTGAATGCTGCTCATGCCTCTTTGCTAAGTGTAATCTTTGGTCATCCTCAAGGCGCAGTGTTATGATAAGACTGAACCACTGAACTTCCTTGCATAGAATGACTGAAAAACCTATTTGTTATGAGAGGGAAGTACTAGATGTTAGCCACATTTTCAGCTTTTATTTGAGGCTTTGAACATACCAGAAATAAAATTATTTGCAGACATCAGCATTCCAGGAAGCGAGCTACATCTGATGCATATTTAAAGCCTACAGAACAACTTAAGATCTAGTACATAAACATTAACCCAAACAAGTAGAGTGCACACAAAAAAACCATGACACCAAGAACCTTCAGGATGATGTTCAGTGTGGTAAGCACTGAAAATGAGACTAGGCTAAACATGAAAGGTTAGTATGCAAGCTAGTGAATAAACAGATCATTGACCTTTGCAGCATTAGGGCTTAGCGTAATTCCCTGCAAATCAGCGAGGAAAGCTAAAGCCAACACAAAAGCATGTTCATAGCTGAGATCCCACTTGGCCTCCCATCAGCTGCTGCGAACAGTGCTGACAAGAATTCACAATTTCGGCAGAACTTCATCTCCAAGTTTCAGCTGATCCAGGGCAGCATCAGTGTTTGGACCAATACTTATGAGCGCTTATGTGATTATGCTAGCATCCAAACTATCTTTGCCCTGAGCCAAAAGTGTCGGACCCACTAACTTCTCACTGGAGTTCCTATCAGAATGGAACACGTCCACATGTTGACATTGATGAAGTTAACATGGTGCTTCCATAAATGATGTAGGTTGCAATTATCTTTTCACGAATAGCAGCTGACAGGATGTTGGCTGCTGGCAAGTCATTTACAGAAGCATGTAAGTTGCTCTGTGAAGACCTCCAGAGGCTGTGCAGAGCACTGTATGCGAGTACCAGTAGGAATAGTGAGCGAAGGGCAGATATTGTGAATGTTTGAGACTAATATGAGGTGCAGAAACTTTACAATTGAGTTGGTTACATAAAAAACAATGATGAATAACTTACAGTGCTTAGGTAGGGTCGACCTTCTCAATAGCACAACATTGAGAAAAACACTGGAGGTGTGGGATGGCGAACTCCTGGGCAAACACTTGGGCCCAAACAGCAACATCTCTGCTGATGCGCTCAGGTGTTGCTTGTAACTCTTGGGGAGTAATATAAATGTCCAACAGGACTTGCTCGGGTGAGAGTTTTGGACCTGCTGCCATACCACATCAGCAAACTGCCTGTTTGGGTACAAAGCTCCCACAGCCATACAGTACACACAGAGCCATACAGTGCGCACAGTGGTGCAGTGCACAGACACTACAGACACTACAGACTCACAGAGACTCACAGAAACCTATGGACTTATATGCAGGTCCTTTCAAAAATTTAATTTAAACTTTGGGTGCTATGGCCATCGTGCGGTATTTCATTCATAGTGCAATTTCTTACAACAGGTATGTAATCGACATCAAAACTAATCTAATGTGCACATGTTTGTGAAGGATTGCGAAGGTAAATACAATTTAAAATGAGACAGAAAAAAACATCATGATTCAGATACACCTGACCCTACTACTTTGAAACACGGATATTAGTCTAGTATACAAGTGCGAACCAATGACATACCAGAAAAGATGTCAGGTTTTGAATGACAAATCGAGCATTCCTGAACATCTAAAACCATTCCTTACCACCAAAGAGCACACACACCCTACATTCATTTCCGCATGTCCAAATTGTTTTTGTGCTTTCTTTGCCTTGAGCTGCCAATAATGTGTATGGACCTGAAGCTGGAAGAGGAGCCGATCAGCAAGTTCCCTTTCAATACATCGAACTTCCAGATCTGCCTGCACCATCTCCAGCAAGTATGTGGCCTCCTCAGCACTCTCAGGATACGCTCCACTAAATGACTACTAAAAGTTAGCAAATATATGTCTTGAACCCTAAATAAAGAATTCACATTGTTGAGTGTTCCCGGAAGTTCAGAAATGGTTGATGAGTCATTTGAATGCTTGAAGTCCAGTAGAATTAGATGTAATTTGCTCCTACATCTAGAAGTCCAAGTTGAAGACAAGAAATTGCTTGTGAGGGGATGAGAATTCAAATGGATAGCAGAAGAATGTAATTGGTCTGATGAGGACATTGTGGCTATTGTTGAACTTACTCCGGAAATTGCCAAATGTACTCAATACTCCAATCAATACCACATATTGAGTAGCATGCGGTGCCCTTCATGTGGAAAGCGCTTTCTGAATGACAAAATTGCACTACAACATCTAAATCAACCTACCTCGTGATGTTTCAATTGGAATGATAACCTGATTCGCTTCTCAGGACCACCAGTGCAACCCCAAGAACCTCAAGCCTCACTGCCAGAAGACGAAATGAATGACGCATGGATGATGGAAGACTATCCTGGGCCATAAGATGGGGATACTGGTGTAAAGGCTGATGATGGGGAAGAAGTGGTGTTTTATGTTGGTGCAGCAAAGACCTAGGGAAGAGGAACCACATTCATGAAGCAATTCGAGTCTGACACTTACGCTGAGGAGAGGATGAGCAATCCATATTTTCCATTCGCTGGCAAACCAGACTGGGAGATGGCGGCATTCCTTCTTCAGTCGGACCTCAGCATGGCAGACATTGACGAGTTCCTCAAGCTTGAATTGTGAGTCTATTTGTGTTACGTGTAAGAATGTCTGAACTCAGGTAAAATTAGAACAGAAAACTACCACTTTCATTTCACTCTTTGAGAGAGCTCAGAGGACGTGCTGAAATGCTGCCATCTCTGCCTCAATGGAAATATCAAATAGTCCCTACAGAGTTCCCTGACAATGAAGACTCTCTGGATATTTTACCAGGATCCAATCGAGTGCCTCCAGTCGCTTCTTAGCCACCCCATGTTGGCCGATAGTTTTGATTTCATCCCACTGCAAAGTCTATGCTGAGGCAGAACATGCCATTCGTGTTTACTATGGTTTCATGACTGGTGACCAGTGCTTGGGAACTTCAGGTATGTTCAACTCTTGACTTCTTCAGCAAAGCTAATCAATAATACAGGAAGATTTGCCTGAATGGCGCGACCTTACTTGGTGTGGTCCTCTCCTCAGACAAGACCAAGGATCAGCAACCTTGCTGGCAACCACTATGCCCATCCGCTCCTCATCACTCTTGCCAATATCGACCCTGATGTACGTGCTAAAGGATCCCTCCAGGCATATATCCCTCTTGCTCTACTTCCTGTTGCAAAGTTTATCCATAGGGTCAAATGCATGCATGGTGTTCTGGTGGACCGGTTACTTCACCAATGCATTGACATTGTGATTGAACCGTTGAAGCAAGCTGCATGCCTGGGCATCATGATGAGTGATCCAGCTGGGGTTCAGTAGATATTGTTTCACACCCCTTGTTGCTTATGTAGCCGATACTCCAGAGGAGCTCGTAATCGTGTGCATAACCATGAATGCATCACCTGTCACTATGGCTACACGTACCAACTTTGGGGATACAGACCTGTCACCCTCTTCATAAAGGCTCATCTACGCTTGCTAATATTCGAAAAGTTGTCGCCTCTGTCTCCCCATCCGACCTTGTGGCATTTTTCGAGGAGTGCAAGCAATACCACTTGAACGGTGTCCAACGGCCATTCTGGATGGATTGGGTCACTGCGGATCCTTCTTCTTTCCTGACACTGGAGTCGCTCCATCATTTTCACAAAATGTTCTTTGACCATGACTGTGCCTGGTGTATTGACGTAGTCGGTGCCAAAGAGATCGACTTTCAGTTTTTCCTTACTTCAGATGTGTACCAGGTATCGTACTTTCAAAGAAGGGATCTCCAATTTGAAGCAGACTTTGGGTCGAGACCATCACAACATCCAGCGTTATATCATTGGCATTATCGCTGGTGCTGCTCCTACCCAATTCATAATGGCCATCCAGACCCTTCTTGAATTCAGATATCTTGCCCAAGCTCCACAATTTTCTGATGAAACACTAATGGAGTTAGATATGTAACTGTTTTCGACTGTTCCACGAACATAAACAGGGCATAGTCAATGCAGGTGCCCGGAGAGGGAAGGATGGCGAGTTTAAATTATGGGTAATGTAATTCCCAAATTAGAATTGCTGCAAGGGGTGGTGCCAAGTATCTGGTTGCTTGGCATACTCACGCAGTGGTCCACAGATCCCACCGAACACGCACATATCGCCATCGTGAAGGTGCCTGCAAGAGCTGGAAATAATCATGACTATGATGCACAAGTGTGTCGCTACCTTGACCACCGTGATAAAGTAGATTGCTTTGATCTTGTGCTTCACATACGCAAACAGGAAGAATGTGCTATTGACGATGAAAGCGATGATGAAGACATTGATAGCAGGATGGTCCGATGTTCCATCAAGGACTATTTTTCACATGCCCGTCAACTCATCAATGGCAATTATCCAGAGGCACCTTATCCCTATTGCACGTTCTCAACCTCTGTTGCGGCTTATCATCTTAGCTATAGACCCACCCTCACAAAGATGACTGTTGATACAGCTGCCGACCACTTCATGCTTCCTGACCTTCACCCTGCTATATCCGATTATTTAGACTGTATTGAAGCACACAATGACTTTCCCATTGGTGGCAGGCGCCAAGCTCACCATAGGTTGTCCCCTTCCTTTTGAATGCATCCAAATCTGGTGTAAGATGCGCATTCAATCAAAAAACTTCCATGATGCAAACTGACTCAAACACTCGCAGGCAATACTGACGGAACCACCCTCAAAGAACTGGCCCTATGGTCAGTATAATTCAGTCCTGATCAATACAGATAAAATATCCAAATGGTCAAAGTGCGGTCTTGAAGGTGAGCCACTCCTGCTCCACGCATCATTTTACTGATATGATAGATGTAGGGCATTGTATCACTCACCTCTGTTTGATTTTTCGTCCAATAACACAACTTTCATATGGGAATGCATACTATGCCTACATTGAACATTTGGATGTGGTCGGATTGGATAAATCAACTGGTATGTATGTTCTACAACTGTGCCTATCGAGCAAATGGTGATCAGATCAGTGATGTGATTAGGATCATTTGAATCCAGGCGCCTGTCCATCTTATCCCCCAGTTTGGTGATGTAGCAGAGCCACGATTGACTGCACAGACTAGTATCAATCACTCCACGGAATTTTTCTTAAACAAATTCTGGAATAAGCAATTATTCTATGCACTTCACTGTGCTTAATACATTTAGACAGGAGCTTCTTATCTCAAGATGGGCTGTTCATGTGACTTAGTTTATTAAGATTTTTTTTGCATGCCTTTTTTTCATTGGGTGTCCATTATCACAAAAGGCAGTGGGAGTCTCAAGCACTGGAGCAGTGCACATCCTCACACCATTTCGCTTGACCTGTGAATCACTGTACAATGGCAGCAATTTTCGGATCTTCCACTAGCAGTTCACGATACTACTACACTCGCACAAGAAAATCAGAAGTGAAGACCGACAAGGATACCAAGATGGTGTCTAAACCCTCAACCGCCACTCCTTGGTTGAAATCTAACCCTACTAGCAAATCCAAAGTGCAGTCTCTTAGTCCAACTTCCAAGCCAGTGCTTAGTAACCAGGCAGACATTGTCACAACATCTTGTAGGTGACTGGTTAATTGTTATCTATCCATAATAATGACAGACTTTGGCTTCAGGCAAGCCCAAGGAAGCTGAACCTCTCGCAACTGAGAGTCTGGTGAATAGTTTGAATAATGTCATTGTCTCGATAGGTCAACTCAATTTATTGTTCAACAAGATTGAATTTCTCACAATGATTGAACAGGCAAATGTGCTGACACAATTATAGATGCACTTCAGCACGTACAAGTAGAACCGATGTGTTTTTCGAATGTTTCTTTTGACGAATTTGTGACTGTGCTTGACTCAATCAGCGGGGATGATATGCACCTCTTGAAAGCAAAGTTAGTTTATAACATTGTGTGAATCTACGCATACCTCATTGAATGATGTAGGATGACATATTTTCCACGCACCATGGTCCTCATTATATACTCCCCCCACCCAGTTCATGATCAAACAACAAGCGAGATATCATCTGCAATCTCAAGCGAGCTCCGTTCCCTCTCGTTCATGCGATCTTTGTTGATGGTTAATGTCATACCCTGGTCATATCTATTCGGAGGATATCTTTACTATCCCCGATATGCAACTCACTTTAACCCCTACCACCTCAGAGGCGGCGGAGACTGAGGTGCTGTGGTACATGGAGACTGTGTTTTCTCAATCTAAATGTGTCGCCCTCAAGAAGATAGAGAAAGTCCTCATTGCTTACCCCGAAATCATATGCATATTATTCATCCTCATATCCAAGCAAACTCATTATGAAACACCCTCAGACAATTCCCCTACTTACAGCCAAGCACTTGCCAACAAATCTCTGCGCCCATACACCTCTTTTTCACCACACAGGGATGCAGAGAAGTTATTTGGTCCCATTAAAGCAATGGATCATAAATGGATCAATGTATCTAAGGTTGAGTACTTTGTCTGGCTCAAGGAGGGCAATGATGTCATCAATGTAAATGGTCCTCACGTGGCTTATGGAGTGGGTAGCTTATTTGACGTATCCAATAGGTACTGACATCATTTTTTCAGACACTGTTTCCAAACCTTGATATGGGCCAGATCAGTGTTGCCTTGAACTGAGGCATGGACTTGGTCAAGTCCGTGATGCGCACCAAATTAGATACCCTACAACCTGCTGTCGACCACACCAATCTTCTTGCACCAAGCGCGATTGTATTCTACTGGGAGACTGATGTCACCTTCGTGTCTGTCGCTGTGTACAAGACAGCTCACTTTCGGTACTGTGACTGGTACCATCGCAACTTCAGTGGCACCAAGCATCGTCGTATGAACAATGGTGGAGATGAGGCTGAGCCGGAGAGACCTTCGAACAGAAGGGTCATCACATCTGCGTCTGATAATGCTGATGATACAGGGCTTTCACTTACTAGCACGTCAGCTAGCACGTCAACTAGTGGGTCCAGTTCTTCGGGGCAGTCTAGTTCTTCTGGGGAGTCAAGTTCTTCTGCGGCCTAGGAACAATTTCCTCCGCAATTTTAGCATATGTACCCAAAGCATTACATTTGGCTTTGAATTCAAACAATCATGTGTCAAATATTTGGTTCAAATGAATTGCTTCAGAACCAATTGTTTAAATTATTATGTGTTAGAAAATATATGCAATGTCAGAGTGCAGAACATTTAAGTTGTCGCAAAAGCTAGCTACTACTTTCTCTAAGTTCATTGAACATGGGCAAACACAAGAAGCCAAATTCTTCTGACCCTGATGGTAAGCTTTTTATTATAATCACTTGATTGATACACATTATCCTGTGCAGTTCAACATGAGCCCCACCATTCTGAACGAAGTAACCGAGGGCAAGGTGGCCACATTGGCCAGCTTCAAAAGCTGGAAAGCACTCAAACGGAGACACACCAATGGGTGAAGAAAAATCCTGCTCAGGATGCACTTAAGAGTCAATCCGTTAATGTCATGGCACCTGAGGTCAAATGGCCAAGACCAAGACCAAGACCTGTGAAGCCGAAGTCCAAAACATGTCCTTCAACATCAGAACAATAAGATATCTCTCCAGTCAATGATCTGCCCAGTTTGCATCTTCGTGGTCCACACTCATGATTTGGTTTCGTCCCCCCTGATGACATTGCAGATGAGGATGATTTAGAGGCTGGGCATGCTCATGGTGTGTATCTATGCTTTTAACTTTGTGCTACTCAATCATAGCTTAATTTATTTAGATGAAGGCCTCAGTGTGCGCTCTTCATCTGCAGATGATGAAGATGATTGTAATGTTCCTTTCCCTTCCCTAGGTATTGACAGGTCCCGAATAAAAATACAGCAATGTACATGTACTGTCTCTCCATCTACAGATGACAGTGATATGCATTCCCCTCCCCAAGTTTCTGACGATTTTGGTGCGAAGAAACAGAGACACGCTCAACCCATCCCTCTATCTGTGGATGAGGGCAATATGCACTCCCCTCTCTGAAGCTCCAACACTTCTCAAATGCAGAAACCTACATGCACCATCTTCTTAAACGACATTGATATCCAACCCTCTTCCCAAGTTCCTAACAGGTTCCATTCGAAGAACTTCAAGAAACACACTCATCCTATCACTCCATCCGCAGATAATAACAGTATACAGAGACATCACCCTATCGTCAGCCCCTCCAGATCTATGAACAGCGATATTCCATCCCATCCACATCGAGTTCCTAAGCCAGGTACAGTAGCTGTCACATTGAGAGCCATATCACTTACCAGCTATCAGCCAGCAACTCTATTGCCTTGGATACTGTCCATGATGTTCTCCAGGAGCATTGTGCAAAGAACTGGTGCCATCGTCCACCTGATCCAAGGACACTTCAGAAATCTGTCGCACTTGGAGCAACTGCGGTATATTCCATTGTTCTCGTCATACCACTGTGTGCTCATTATTGCCAGCTCGCTGCAGCCATTGATGAGTACAAGACCGGTATCTACAAACCAATGAAATTTGTCTCTGAGTTGTATCAGCCCATTTATGACAGTGTCATGCAACTCTACGATGATGTCAAGCTTGACCCTTATCATTCGAAGAAATGTCGAGCAGTTCGTAAGAAATGGGCGCGCTGTAGAAACAACAATACTACTAGGAACAAATGATGCTCCTGACAGTATCTATAAATGTTGAAAGGTCGCGCGTTGCCTAGTCTGCATTACTTGAGGAGACAAGTGCATTCGACCCTAAAGGGGAAGTGAGTACAGCAAAGATCTAGAGGTATGCGCGGGAACGCGAAGCGCGAGAAAGTGCAGGTGCGCGCAAGGTACAAAGGTGTGGGAACGCGCGCGCGCGAGGCGCAAAATAAGAGAGACTAAACTTAAGTGATGATATGATACAAGATAAGAGAAGAGTGATGCAAAGTGTAGACAAATAGTCTTCTACTATGTTCTGCTAAGTAAATAGTGGGTGGTAACTAGTAAGTTGGAAAGTTATTTGAAAAGTAAGTGGAAAACTTGTGTGTCGGCGCTTATATAGCGCGCCTAAGCATGGTCATGCGGAGCCGAAGCGCTACCAAGTAGGTATGTAAATATATATATAAGTAAGGGTCCATTATAAAAATAGAGGTGGAATGATATGCTAATAAAGGAATGGACATATATGCACTAGAGGGTTTGGTGGACAGTGGATGGATGCTTCTGGATGGCTGGCGCTATAGGGCACTCAAGCGTGGGAACGCGCGCGCGCGTATACATCGCGAAGCGCGGGAATGGTGCGCGCATAGCGCGGGAAAGTTGCGCCTCGTATAGGGATAACTGCGGGTAGCGCACGGAGTGACACTACAAGTTCGTGCTATGTACTCCTTAGTGGGAACTGCCATATCACGCCATGAGAGGCATGAGTCTCTACAGCGCGCTGCAGGGTATATATTTTTATTATTGATTTATTGGTTTACTTGACACCCATTAACAGTACTCTCACATGTAATCAATCAAACCGGCGTCATAATTGGGGTCTGAAGTTGAAGCTCGACTAGGCACAATTTGTTTTAGGATACATGGCATAATGATGATTTGTTGGTTGTGCTAATATTGGATTTGAGTCTTGTCTGCCTTGCTCTGTAGCCTTTCTGTGGCCTTTCTGTCTTGCCTCTGTAGTCTTTCTGTTTTGCCTCTGTAACATGCTGTCTAGCTTAATGTGCACTCTATCCCACTCTGTATAAGCTCCCATATATTCTGTACAACTCTGTACAGAATTGTAGAGGCTACTTATGTGCTCTGTATAGAGTTGTGCAGAGAGAACCCTCTCTGTGGGCTCTGTGGCCCTGTCTAGCACTGTCCAGGGCTATCTAGTACATGGCTATTTTGCTGATGCAGCGCAATGGATAATGAGTGAAATACCACTGTCAAGGTGGTCTTGTACACTGATCTAGGGAAAAAATCGAAAAGAATTAGAAAATATAACAAAACATGATACTTTGACTTACCACATCAAATACATCCTGCAGCCCTGCTTCTACCAGGTTGTCTTGTGTGAGGGTCTTCTTGTTGGTCTATTCCATAAGAGGAATTGAATGCGACATATGAAGGGTGAAGGCCCTTGTGTGTCCTCATCTGGTAATGACTACCATCAACATGTGCATCATGCCTAAGTAGTGCCATGGCAGCTGCTTGGTGTTTATTGTTGCTGAAGCCCTGTGCAAATGCTGACATGTGAGTAAGAGCAGCGATGCTAGCCATACTGAAGCAACTAGTATAGCTTGCTGCTTCAGCTGGAGATGGTATGGTATTAGAGGGTGTTTGCTTGCTTGGTTGAACAGGAGGGGTCATGGTTGGTGATAGCCTCACAGTTGAAGACAAACAGATGCTATTATATCTAAACATAAGAATGCACAAGTGATGTTAAGCATTAATAAGTGACTTACAGACTTGACACTAGAACATAGTTGCTCCCTGGTAGATCCATGTCATGTAGTACAAATGATGGTTCAATCTAAGGCGGGTTTGAACATGTCTTGATATAATGACAGTATTATGTTCAAGGTATACACAGTGCCAGCAGATCTGTATACTTGAATTGTGTATGCGCTGGCATGTGATCAGATGTCATAAGCTCAATAGCAAATTCAACTTGCATTAACACATTGCGCTGTGTACCATGTAGTAGTGCATCATTTTTATTGCCTGGTATATCTACTATCTACTAGCATATGTGCTATTCATATATGTATATGTAGTTAAAAAATTGAATATGTATAAGGTTAAAAAATCTTGCTAGCAAGAGATCGTCAATCAGGCTCAGTTGGCCTGGGTTAACCTCCCTGAAAATCTGCTTGGTCTGTTTTTCGTCAATGATGCAGACCAGACAGTCTGCTTGGTCTGTTTGCCATTGATGAACACTTGCAAACCAGAAGTCTATTTGATCTGTTTTCCATTGATGAATAGGGAATGCATAGCAAGAATATATTATATGAAATGGTTAGAGACAGTTAGTCAACAATGGAGTGTAAGTAGTCTGCTATCTCCTCTACCGCCACCTCTTGTTCCTCTTGATCAATGGCTTCCATGTCATCAAGGTCCGACCTGATAGTTTCCAGAATGTCATCCCTGTCCTCTTGTGATGAAGAAATATGACCAGCTGCACATTGAAAGAAAATTAGTATGAGTTAGTATGAAATATACATGAGATGCACCATTCAATACTTGATCATCAGTTGTGGGTTTGAAGCGCACACCAATGGTGTTGACTCCAGAGAATCTGGTGAGACTTGCAATCTGATCTAAGTGAGAAGAGTGTACAGCATTGATAGCCGCTCGTGAATGCCACTGGTGCTTCAGCTCAGTGCCAAGCAATGGGTCTGAACTAAGCAGGTTATGTATAGTGCCAGTTACATGAAGTTCCTTATCATGAATGACTGTGCGCAGTCAATGAATTTCGATGTTAAGTCGGACAATTTCTTCACAAGCTCAGAGAAGCTTAAGATATTTTGTTGTGGCTTCTTGATGGGCTGGCTTAGCCCAATCATTGCTCCTGATGTCTGTGTGTGAGTGGTGTAAAAGGTCGAACTCGGCAAGAAAACCATATTCTGCAATATCCTTCCATGAAATCTTTGGACGTGGTGGATTCAGGGCTGCAGCCTGGATGTTGTAGCAAGTAATAGCCTTCCAAATAGTTTCAGACCACCACTGTAAAGCTTTGCTGATCTGCTGCCGTAGTTTATACCCTAAAATATATTAGCACTGGAGTGATGAGCACATCAAACTGAAATCACCTGTGCCGGACAATGATAACTTCGAAAGTTCAAACAACCTCATGACAACAAGCTGTTCAAGCTCATCAAGTGCTGTACAGTATTTGCTGAGTGAAGCTTCACCTTTGAAGTGGTTGTACTCCTTACCACTGATCTCCCATTGTATGTCAATGCTTAGCTGAATCTCCATGTGGGCAACAAGCACCTCCGTATGCTGCAACTTGGCATAGGAGGAATCCACTCTGATATGGGCGGCCATTAGTGCTTGATTGATTTGCAACAAATTGCTAGCAGGGATTTCGTTAAGGGCACTATTTGCAGCTTTGTGAGCCAAATCCCAATCAGCTCTGACATGAGTCCCTTGTGAATGCTTGCTGTTAATGGCAAAATTAAACTTACTTTCATTTGGCAAGTCCATCCAGGACCTGGACATAGTGGATACAGAGGTTGTCTTTTACAGGGAGCTGCTCCAGACTCTCAAAATAATTGTGTTCTTCATGAAGCAATTGAGGGAAGTCATTGTTAGTGAGCTGTAGCTTAGATTTGATGATTGTGAGCTCAGTGGTGAGGAATGCGATGTAGAAACAACAATACTGAGAGGAACAAAGAAATGCTCCTGACTGTATCTAAAAAGTTGTAGGTCGTGCGTTGCCTAGCCTGCGTTACTTGAGGAGACAAGTGCGTTCGACCCTAAAGGGGAAGCAGGTGCAGCGGAGATCTAGAGGTACGCGCTTCAGCGAAGCGCGAGAAAGTGCAGGTGCGCGCAAGGTACGAAGGCGCGGGAAAGGCGCGCGCGTATTAGCGCGAAGCACGGGAAAGCGCGCGCGTGTAAGCGGAAATAAGAGAGACTAAACTTATATGAAGATATAAGCAAGATAAAGGATGTGAGATGTGTTGTGCTAATGAATAGATTTCTACTGCGACTTTCTAAGTAGTAAGTACTAGGTAAAGTTGGGTGAAAAGTTAGGTAAATAATAGTATGTACTGCTGGTGCTTATATAGCGTGCCTAAGCGCGCTCATGCGGAGCCGAAGCGCTACCGAGTAGGTATGTAAAAATATATATGAGTGAGAAACTATGATAAAAATAAAGGTGGAACTATGCTAATAAAGGAAATGGAAATATACGCACTAGGGAGCTTGGTGGACAGTGGATAGATGCATCTGGATGGCTGGCGCCATAGGGCGCGCAAGCACGGGAATGGTGCGCGCATGGCGCGCATTGCGCGGGAAAGCTGCGCATCATATAGGATTAGCTGTGGATAGCACACCGGATGGTGCTGCAAGTTTGTGCTAAGTACTCCTTAGTGAAAAGTGCCATATCATGCCATGAGAGGCATGATTCTCTACATCTCCCAGGGACTTAAATTCTGAGTGTCCCCACTCAGCGCATGTGTGGTGAGGATTTTGCGTGATAGTATGCGAGTGCGATGCATGTATGATGCTTGGGTTGTTGGGCGATGAATGCGCGAGGCACGGGAAGTTGCGCGCATGGCGCGCGTGAGGTGCGAAGGCGTGGGAATGTGCGCGCATGCGCACTTGAGGCGCGGGAATGCAGCATAGCATGGTGAATTGCGAGGTGACTCTGATGTAAATAATGCGCCATGGTTGTGAGGCAATGATGCAAGGGTGATATGAATGTGGCGCGCGAAGCGTTGTCCAGACCAAGTCCTGCTAGGCGCGCTAAATATTAGATGCTAAAGAGTTTGAACATTGTGAGTAAAACTATATGTGAAAATGCGAATGAAAAACAGTAACTTGCAGATGTCCTATCTGACTTGTCTTCTTCGTGCAGCTGTCAACATCTACACCTTCCTATGAGCGAGGCGCGAGAAGTGCGCATGTGCGCGAGGCGTATGGGCGCGGGAGGTTTGCGCGTATGTGCGCGTGAGCGTGGGAAGACTGCGCGCATATGTGCGCATTCTAAGGTAAAAAGGGCATGGTGCCGCGTCATGCGTGCGAAGAGAAAATAATACTATTGAGCTAGGCGGGCACAATCTAAGGTTGTTTTCTTGTTTTTGGCAACTCCTATGTGCATATATATCAGTAAGTTATTAGTTCTTTGGATGGCGTTATAATGAGAGAAAATAAAATGAAAGAGCGCTGGACGAAACCCAGGGTAAAACGAATGGTATCCTATGAAACAGCGATGGTATACGTTGTTCTTTGATGCGCAGCTGAGGCACTTGATCCTCCTCCTTGAGTGCATGCGAGTGCACGTGACTAGCGCGCTTCGCGTCTCTTGCGAGCTGACGCTTTACCCAAGGTAGGGTTGGAATGAGCAAGGCTGGCGCGCTTGGGGGGGCTTGTAACCGGCAGGATGAATTCCTGCACAACGCGCTGCAGGTTGAAGGCGCGCCAATGGGAGGCACTGCAAGGGGTGTAGGGGCGCCCTACAAGCTGATAGGATGCGCGCGATGTGCGCGCCTTGGTGCGATTTCGCGCGAATTTGATTATATTGGCCGAACACGTGAGGAACGGCCATTTCTCTGCAAATGCATTAGTGAGAGACATGTATAGTGAAGAATTAGGCGCAAATGTTGCGCCAATGGGCTGTAAGGGTGGTATATCAAGGCGCAGTAGGCGCATAGGTGAAGGAGAATAGTGCGCATCAAGGCGCGCAGGAATGAAATTGACATGGTAAGCAAAAGCGCGAAGAATGTGAATAAATGTGGGAAGTGTGAAGTTAAAGGTGATGATAGGGGTGTTAGGCGCGTATGTATGTGTCAGGCGCGCGCCTAAGTCGCGCCTGGATGACTGATTGTAATATACCTTGTGTTGAATGAAAGAAATGCAATTTAAAAGGGGAGAAGTGATAGAAACGCGATAGCATGAAAACTCTGCTACAATTATGAATGCGCGAGGCGCGGGAACGCGCGCGCATATTGCGCGATGCGCGTGATCATGGCGTGTGAACAAGGGGTGGTGAGAAGATGAAATTAAAGTGTTTGGAATCATCATATAGCTCCTTAAGAGCTTCAAACATGAAAGAGACAGAAAACGCGAAATGAGATGAGGGTAAATATACAATACCTCGAGGCGCGCGCATTGCGCGTCCTCAGGCGCAATATGGTGCGCCTGAGTTGCGCCAGGGTCGCCTGAGACATGCTCTGCTTGGTGGTTAGGTGGCGTGTTGCATGGATGCTTTACCGGCGCGCGATAGTCACTGGAAGCAAAAAGCGCGACATGCGCACGATCATTAGTGACAGATGGAATTACCAGAGACAAACTCTGGTTGATGTGAGGTGCGACTTGAGCCTCTGATGCGACAGAAAGCTCCTCTATAGGCGCGCTAAGGTGCAGTAGATGTTTAGGGTCATCTTTGACCTCTAATGATGCGAGCAGTGATGGTGATGGTGTGATTGGCGAGGTGTCTTCCTTAAGCGATGCGATAGGTGGGCGCGTTTCAAGCGATGGCGTAATAACGTCCACAATGGGCGCGTTACTGTGCAATAGATATTTAGAGTCATCCCTGACTTCTGGCGAGGTGATAGCAATAGGCGCACGTGTTTCAACTGGCGCGTTAGTGTGCAATAGATGATTATAGTCATCCCTGACTACTGATGCTGTGATTGGTGATGATGATGTGGATAATGATGGATATTGTGAAGGAGATGGTGCTGATGATGAAGGTGAAGAGGCGCCTGCAGCGCGCTTTGCGAGCGCGCGCTCGAGTTCGTGATCTAAAGCGATGCATTCTGGTATACCTTTGTATGCTGGCGCAGTTGATGGTTGAGGTGTGCGTGATTCGCGCGAAGGCGCGGGAAAGGCGCGCGCGTGAGGCGCGTGAATAGGAACTGATGGCCTTTTGTCAAGTACAGCTTCTGAGGGTGCGCGATAGAAGAGTTCAGCTGTCGCATTAGCGCTAATGGTCGTATCCTGTGTTGCATGGCTTTGCACTGGTGTGCTTGGTGCTACCACAGGCATGCTAACTGGTGCGCTTACTGGTGCGCTAACTGGTGCGCTTACTGGCGCGCTTGGCGCGGGAAAAGCGCGCGCAGGTAATAGGAACTGCGCAGCTGCGAAGACGTCCATGAATGGGTATGGGTCGTATGGGTGGTGGTCAGGGAACTTGATCATAAGGCGCAAGCGGATTTGCGCCTGAGCATCGCTAGGGATTCCTTCCATGAATAAGTGGTCGTGTTCGGCCTTTCCAATACGGTCTTTGTCCATGAGTGGCTGCATAATCTTCCTGAATGCGCGCAGGTAATTGCTTAATTCTGTGCAAGAGGGCATTGGTTTGTTAGCGTATTCGCGCGCGATGGCGCGCAAGTCCGCGAGCGCATAGCGTCTTTTACCATCCCATCCAGGATACATTACCTTTACCTCGTCTAAGAAGGCGTCGTAATCATCTACTGCCGCTTCTGGCATGCCTCCCCATAGTTCTCGATCATCGCGTGCAAGGTAGCGGATAATACCTTTGATGCGGTCAAGTCCTTGGAGTCCTGCTTCATCAGCAAGCTGCTCATATGTGTCAATGAATTCAGCGAGGTTGTCTGTAGTGCCGTTGAACTTGGGCGCATTTGCGGTGCCGCGGATGGGCATTCTATAAGGCATTGAGGCGTGAAAAGGCGCAGGTGCGCGCGTGAGGCGCAGAGGCGTGGGAACTATTGTGTGCGCGCAAGGCGCGAGAGTGCGTGACTATACAATGGTTAGCTTCTGAATTTGCAAAGAGATTGACCTTATATGTGCGAATTGCGCTAAGTGCAAAGGTGCGCTCGCAAGGCGCACAGGGGTGGGAAAGCGCGCGCGCAAGGCGCAAGAATGCGTGACTAGAAACTGGTTAGCTTGTAAAAATGCAAAGAGATTGACCTGTATGTGTTAAGATGCGCAAAACTAGATCTTGCTGACTGCTCCCCTCGCGGTGGGCTCCAGTTGTAGAAACAACAATACTGAGAGGAACAAAGAAATGCTCCTGACTGTATCTAAAAAGTTGTAGGTCGTGCGTTGCCTAGTCTGCGATACTTGAGATGGCAAGTGCATTCGACCCTAAAGGGGAAGCAGGTGCAGCGGAGATCTAGAGGTACGCGCTTCAGCGAAGCGCAAGAAAGCGCAGGTGCGCGCAAGGTACGAAGGCGCGGGAACGCGCGCGCGTATTAGCGCAAAGCGCGGGAAAGCGCGCGCGTGTAAGCGGAAATAAGAGAGACTAAACTTATGTGAAGATATAAGCAAGATAAAGGATGTGAGATGTGTTGTGCTAATGAATAGATTTCTACTGCGACTTTCTAAGTAGTAAGTACTAGGTAAAGTTGGGTGAAAAGTAAGGTACATAATAGTATGTACTGCTGGCGCTTATATAGCGCGCCTAAGCGCGCTCATGCGGAGCCGAAGCGCTACCGAGTAGGTATGTAAAAATATATATGAGTGAGAAACTATGATAAAAATAAAGGTGGAACTATGCTAATAAAGGAAATGGAAATATACGCACTAGGGAGCTTGGTGGACAGTGGATGGATGCATCTGGATGGCTGGCGCTATAGGGCGCGCAAGCGCGGGAACGCGCGCGCGCGTATACATCGTGAAGCGCGGGAATGGTGCGCGCATGGTGCGCGTTGCGCGGGAAAGCTGCGCGTCATATAGGAATCACTGTGGATGGTACACAGAGTGATGCTGCGAGTTGGTGCTGTATACTCCCTAGTGTAAAGCGCCATATCACACTATGAGATGCACGAGTCTCTACAGCGATCACCTTCAATGCTTCTTGATAATGGTTCCATAAAAAATTACCTGTCGGACAAATATAGAATGTGTTAGCATTGCAATTACTGCACAAATATTACGCACTTAGGGCAGCATATTTGTCCTTATCCCAAAAGATAAAATGTTCTTCGATAGATTGGTACCAATGAAACAAACTTGCATGTCTGGTGGACCAAGCAAGTTCATTCGAAGCTGAGAAGATGTGTTCACAGCCTTTGCCTTCACTATGCCTGGTGCTGAGAATATGCAATGGATGCCAGCATAACTGACATTTTTGGTTGTGGGCATGGCCATGAAAGGCACCAACCATCATTTGGAAGCCAAGCTCATCCACCTGAGGTGCCAAGGAACTGCTGCTCAACATCTTTGAGAACATGCATCCAATGTCATAAGCACAGCCTTCATTAGGTCCATAGACACTAAGAATTTTGTCAATGAGCGCCAGGGGATATTTGGCCCTAGGAGTCAGATCAACAATGGTTAAATCAAAATTAAATTGATGGACAGTTCACCACTTTGAAGCATATCACACACTAGAAGCACAAAGCAGTGGCAACATGAAGTGATGAATATCCCAGATTCATGCAAAACCAAAAACATTTTTTTGTGTTTCAGGTCCAGCGTTTCACCAGCAATCAACACAAGAGAATGTCAGAGAAGGATTTGCTTCAACAGGCTCATTCTGCCAATCATCAACATGTGAATCAACCTGCAAAATATTGTCAACTATTTTTTTATATTAAGACAACTTACTCACATTGTGCCCTTGAACTTCATTTTGAAACTGGTCCATGTTACAGTGACTACGTGAGCCCCCAGCTACACGACCTGCCCTCTGCCACCTCGCACGGCAACGATACGATACGATACCCAGGCCCTTGGGCCTTGATGATAGATAACGAACAGATGACGAAATAGAAGAGAAGTCCGGAAGATGCCGGATTAGGTAAACGATCTGGATCGCTTACATGATATGACGACATAGGTCTAGAAGACCTATATATGTTATCAAGATAGAAGGCAAGCCTCGTGTTGCCTCATGTACTGATAGAAGGACGCTTCGCGGTCCTTATCATGGATAGAAGCCTGCCTCATGCATGGTATCTCTGACTCGATAGATAAGCACTTAGAACCCAGCTTCAGGCTGAGCTTAGATACGATAGAGTAGCCTTATATAAGGTCGACGGATTAAAGTAGATGTTCCTTACTTTAATCCTACTGGGTTTACCATTGAAACCTTTGTCCTGCTAAAGCTACCTGCTCGACATCAGATCCGTACCTTCAGAAGGACTTGAGACCCCTTCTGCCTGTAACTCGCTATCATCGTTCACCTCCGTGAACGTACGCAACTCCTGCTCTTCTGTAGGAGCCGACCTCGGACTCTCAGCACGAGGTATCACTGTCGTGATCGTCGCTGTTAGATTATCCCAGTTCGCACGCGACACACGTCGTAACAAAGGATTAAAGTCCCTTTACTGTACGCCTCCATCACAGGCTACAAGATAACTGATCGCACTTGCTGTCAACGTTACCGACACTCGTAGAACCCCGAACCTAGACCCCGAAAGGATTTTCATATCCCTGATCTAGAACCCTGATCGTACCGGCCTGACCAGTCGCAAGAATATAAGAACCGCCGTCACTGTGGAAAGCTCCAAGAAAAGGATACCACGAAGATCGTAGAACCCATCTCCAATATGGCAACTACCAGAAACACCTTCGCCGCTGCACACCTCACTGGGAAGGAGACTCGCCTCTGTTTGCGAGAGAAGAAATGTTTTGTGTGCCACGTCATCGGACACAAAGCCGCGAGCTGTCCGCAATGGACCCGAACCTCACGGAGAAAGATGATCGAAGAAGAACCCCTGCGCGCTATCAAGAAAGCCGGGGCTAAGGAGGACATACGGGTGAACGCCACCCTGATCTCCAGAACGAGAAGCAACCCTATCGCGACATCTATGATCGTAGATTCTGGGGCGTGTGAGTCCTTTGTCAACCAGGACATAATCACACAGCACCGCATCTCGACGCACCAGCTAGAGAACCCTTTGAGATTCTCGAACGCTGACGGATCCTGCTTCGGAACGAAGCCGATAGAAAGGTTTTGCAACCTTACTTTCCAGATCGATGAACGGGTAATTTCCGAACGGTTTTACCTAGCCGAACTTGGTCCAAAAGACAAGTTCCTGCTCGGACGACCTTGGCTTATCAGCCAGAACCCCGCAATTAATTGGAAAACCGGCGCGGTGACCCTCAGAAGCACCGCAGATTCCCGAAAGAAGGAAAAAGAAATAGATTCTGATCGGAAGAAGAACGGCAAGGCGCCCCTCTTCCTGAAAGAAGAAAAGAAGGTGACACAGAAGAGAAAAAGATCGGTATCCCCGACAACTCCCCGTACCTTCTCTTCGGGCACAGTACCACTAGCCCAAACGACACGAATTGCACCGGTCTACGAAGAGCCGCAGGACGGAAACCCCGTCGAAACTTCAGAAACCACACCACAGCCCACGAAAACTGTGACGAAGAAAGACTCGCTGCCTAGAATTAACCTCGCAGCGAAGAGATATGAACAGAAGAAACCGGCCACTGATCCGGAGACAACTCAGAAGAAGACTTCCAGACCGGCGCTGATATCTGACCACATTTATCCCGAACCGCCACGAACGAAGAAGATTGAACCGGCTGTTCAGCCGATGAAGATAGAAGGAGATCCTGCACCTGCCCGATATAAATTCTCGGCAGAGCCCGCACAAGTCCTTGGGAAGGGACGTGCAATGATGAACGAAGAACCGCCTGTATCCAAGGCGCCCAGACTGGCCCCTGAACCAGAAAAAACTCAGAGGTTCGAATTTTCTGGAGAACCGATATCCGTTCTCGGAAAAGGACGCGCAGTCCGAATCGAAGACCCTCCCACCGCCAAGAAACTCAGATTCTATGAAAGTCCTGAGTCCGCAATGGAGGAAGACCCCGAACCGGCATATTTAACCGCCGATGAACCGCCGAATTCCCTCAAACTCTCCATGACACCCGCGCATAATTCCGAAGAAGCAATGACGCTATCTTCTGATACCGAACTCCCTCCTGTGTTACAAGAAGCCCAGGATATTTTCATCGAACGAATTGCTTCAGTCCACGAAGCATATCGTCAGAATGAAATAAAACAGGAAGAAGAAGACGCCGGGCCGAGTTTTGTCAGATTTATTGACATGGAAAACTCCGAGGATGACGAGGATGAAGACGATAACGCACCCTCTTCGCATGATCTGCGAATGATAGATTCAGGAGGAAACGAATTCGAAGACGATGGCCCGCTCCCTGGCCTAGACTTCTGATTGGATATGATTAGTCGGTGACTAATGGCTTAGTAAGGGGGTGAAATCCTCCTTTTACTTATTTTCCACGCCTACTCCACCCTGAACACTGATCAACTAATCCCGAACTCGACCAACTTCTATTGTTGGTCCGGAATGACCCTAAACTACGATTGTCCGTGATGACTTGAAACTAGACGATGAAAAGGACGAACCCCGGAAAACTCCTGCAAGCTTCGGGACCCCTCACATCACTGCACTTCGACCACCCGAGTTGACCACGTATGTAAACAAAGGGTAATAGAAGACGACCTCCCCGCTGGACGACCCCAAGAAACTCCTGCAAGCCTTGGCACCCACGCTCGGACCCGTACCTTCGACATCTGATAAAAGAACCCAGAAATGGATCTATAGAAGATAAGAAGACCAGACCTCCGGAACGAGGCTAAACTATCACGAAACGAACTCCACGGAAACTCCTGCAAGCCCATGGAACCCTCTAGAACCCATCATGGCAATGACGACCACCCTCTGATGACGACCTGATCTTTCAACAAAGATAAAGGACGATAGTACCTATCACGGCACTTTCCCTCTGATAGCGAAGAAGAATCTCGAACACGAGTTAGCCTCATGGCTAGATAAGATGATAAGAGATAACGATAACAAGTTTAGATTGAAACGGAGCTTGGATTGATCTGGAAAGAAGGTTATAAACCCTCTCGATCCCCGAACATCTCTCCCAACGAACCTCCATCATCATGACGAACTCCATCGACATCGACTCTATCAAAATGACACCGAAGAACTCTGACTACGGAACAGTCCTCAGGATGACGGAAAACAGCGCGTTCAATGAAGCTGCTATCCTGACCCCCGCGTACTCCCAAGCGATCGACGAAATCCTTGGTGATCAAGACGCCAGAACTGCAGCGTGTACATCCCTCACAGTCTGCATTATACGAACCACGAAGCTGCTGGAAGATGTAGCCAATCGTGTTGACCTGGATGAAGCAACTCGGAAACTTGCTGTACTTCATCTGCAACGGCGGATCAGAAACTTCGCACTTCACTTACTCCCCCTCGACTTCTCCGATATCACCGACCTAGCGATAAAGAAAGTTGAAGTGAAGCCTCTCATAGAAGAACCCCGCCCGGTACGCCCGCTGAGAAGAAAGGCGGCTGCCATAGATCGAACCCGTAAGACGCTCTGCAGGCGCTGCGGAGGATTTGGACATCAGTTCAGAAGATGTCCAGATTATGTTTGTTGCATCTGCGATGAACTAGGACCTGACCATCTGTCGGTCCACTGCCCGCGACTCAACGGACGCATAGTACTCCAAGAGTTTAGCGATGAAGAGAAGTTTTTCGAAGCTCTCTTAGATTGGGAGAATAATCGAAAGGCACTCACGGATCTTGAACTTCAGCATCCCACTGAACTTTCCCCTGCCTCTGAACCTCCCTCCGCACCTTCTACATCCACGATAACAATTCCTACACTACCCGCCGCTACGATGGAAGAAGATGTTTGATGAATACACAAAGCCGGTGACTTTGTGCGTAGTAATGGGGTAATGTTACAGTGACTACGTGAGCCCCCAGCTACACGACCTGCCCTCTGCCACCTCGCACGGCAACGATACGATACGATACCCAGGCCCTTGGGCCTTGATGATAGATAACGAACAGATGACGAAATAGAAGAGAAGTCCGGAAGATGCCGGATTAGGTAAACGATCTGGATCGCTTACATGATATGACGACATAGGTCTAGAAGACCTATATATGTTATCAAGATAGAAGGCAAGCCTCGTGTTGCCTCATGTACTGATAGAAGGACGCTTCGCGGTCCTTATCATGGATAGAAGCCTGCCTCATGCATGGTATCTCTGACTCGATAGATAAGCACTTAGAACCCAGCTTCAGGCTGAGCTTAGATACGATAGAGTAGCCTTATATAAGGTCGACGGATTAAAGTAGATGTTCCTTACTTTAATCCTACTGGGTTTACCATTGAAACCTTTGTCCTGCTAAAGCTACCTGCTCGACATCAGATCCGTACCTTCAGAAGGACTTGAGACCCCTTCTGCCTGTAACTCGCTATCATCGTTCACCTCCGTGAACGTACGCAACTCCTGCTCTTCTGTAGGAGCCGACCTCGGACTCTCAGCACGAGGTATCACTGTCGTGATCGTCGCTGTTAGATTATCCCAGTTCGCACGCGACACACGTCGTAACAGTCCACAGCTTCGGGTTCAACCCAATAGTCTGTATGAGCCCTATGAGAATCCATGC